CCCGCCTGCTCCCAGGACAGCCGGCCCCAGTCCTTCAGACGCAGCAGCCCGATGGAGTCACCCCCCGCCTCCGCGAAATACAGGCTCTTGTCTTTCACTGCGTAGTCGATGGCTGTCAGGCGGCCCACCTTGGCCAAGGGCAGGGCTCGATGTGGGGGAAGGTCTTGGGATCCAGCTGTTGTGGGCAGGTCCTTCAGATAGACCTGGGGGAAGGAGGCAGTACTAGGACGGGAACCCCACTGCCCTGACTGCGGGAAGGTCAGCAGCCCCTCTGGGCCCCCCAGCTCCAGAGGACAATACCTGCGCCACGGCTGCGGGTGACACCAGGAGGGCAAAAGCCGAATCACGGAGGGGAAGGCAGGTGGTCTCATCGGCAGCCAGCGTCAGGCCGGTGGGGCACCGGCACTGCCCAGCGTGCCTGGCGCTCAGCAGGCACAGGTGGGAGCAGCCACGCGCCGCGCACGGGTTGGGGACCACGGGGCGCAGGGCTGGGTGCATCACCTGCAGGAAGGGCAGGCTCAGCCTCACAGCCCTGCCAGTGCCCTGCAGTGGAGCTGAGCACGACCAACACCATGCCATGTCCCTGAGGCTCGGACACAGCCCAGCTGGGGGCAGGATGGTGAGGCAGAGATGCTCCAAGACGACCAGAGACCCTTGACCACAAGGACTGCTGGCCCAAGGACCACCAGGGTGGGGATACAAGCTCCCAGTGGCTCAGCACACGGCAGGGCCATGCATGGTGGGAGCCCCAGCAAAGCTGTCACAGTAGAGTTTGGGGATCCCCCCAGTAGGTACCTGGAGGCCATGGGGCTGCCCATGTCGCTTGAGCAGCACAGTCCTGTTCTTGCCACTGGCCTTGTCCACCTGCTGCACGGACCACGCCTTCCTCTCCGACCAGTAGAGCTGCCCCTCACACACAGCCGCCGCAAAGGGGCTCCGGACCCAGCTCAGCTGCAGGACCTGGCAGAGAGGCTGTGAGCGCCCACCCCAGCCCCTGTCAGAGCCCCATCACCAGAGCCCTGCCACACACCTTCACACTGGTGCCATCCAGACGTGCAGAACCAAAGCTGCCCAGCTTTTCATCCAACCAGAAGATCCTCCAGGTGGGGAGGGGAAGGGCCAGTGCTGTGGGCCAGCCCAGCCCCTGGGCCAACAGCACGTGTCGCCGACTCCCATCCATGGTGGCTTCCATCAGCCGTGGGTGGCTCCCCACCTCTGACCAATACAGCAGCCTGGCGGGAAGAGAGGTGTCGGCCCACGGACCTGCCACAGCATGGTCCCAATACCAGGGCAGCTCACAGGAGCTGCGCAGAGCTTCCCATCCCATCAGTGATACACCGAGAGCTCCACCCAGGGCAGGGGCAGGTGCCTGGCCTCCTCCTTCCCCAGTTGCACAGCCCCAACAGCACCCAGTTGAGGTCATCCCAACTCTTCTCCAGCCTGTTGCCTGCCTCCATAGAGGAAAATAGGGCAGGGATGGCAAGGAGGTCCCCATCTCCTCTTGTCCCAGCCTTACCCTGCCAGCGGCTGGAGCACCAAGGAGTGGGGCTGGTCCAGGTCTCCATCCATCACCACAGTGTACTCTGGTATCCCTCTCCAGGCAGCCCCCAGGCGAGTGGCCAGCACCTGCCCTGCTGCCCCATCTGTCCAGTACAGGTTCCTGCCGAGCCAGTCCACTGCTATACAGTCTGATCTCACACCTGCAATGTGTCCAAGAGTCAGCACCTGTGGGATGACAGCTGAGTGGCCTTCTGGCACAATGAGTGGCCTTCCAGCCCAGGTCCCCTCCATCCCAGGAGCTCCTCCCAACCCTACTCCCACCAGCACCTCTCTGTGCAAGGGGACACAGCCTGGAACCCCACTGTAACCTGGAGATTGCACAGCCACAAGAGGGGACAGCCCTGCTAACCCCACACTCTCACAGCCCACCTTTCACCAATGTGCCTTTCTTGCCCGAGTCAAAGTCCTGCCAGCGGATGCTCTCTGTGGCCAGGTCCATCCAGAAGACTTTCCTCTCCACCAGGTCATAGTCGAGCGAGAAGACAACGCGATCCTTGTCAGTGGCCAGCAGCACCTCCTCGCGCCCACTCCGCAGGCCACGGGACAACACCTCTGACTGCACGGCCACCAGCAACATGGGCTCTGGTCCTGGGGCAACACAGAACCACCTGGACATTGCTCAGCACTGGTGGCCCCACGGCCCCAACACACACAGGCAGGGAACATGGCACTTGCAGGCATTGCACCCTGTTGGGACTCAGTCCTACCGCACACCATGTTCCCCAGTGCAGAGCGATTTTCCGATTTCACTGCTGAGTGGGGCCTGGGAGGCCACATGGCAGAGGGGACAGGGCCATTCACAGGACTACAAGGCTCTCCATGAGCAGCAGGCATGGGGGAACAAGTACCCACTGGCTCCTGGTGTACCTTACAGTGCCAGGGACACTCAGTGCTCCTTGGCCACCCCAGGACTTACCAGTGAGTTTGCAGACGTGGCCGTCAGGCTCCAGCAAGTAGCCTGGGAGACAACCACAGCTGTAGGACCCTGGGGCATTGAGGCACGTCTGGGTGCAGGCTCCCTCGCCCTGCTCCGTGCACTCGTCTATGTCCATGCAGGACAGACCATCCTCGGCCAGCCGATAGCCTGGGTCACACCAGCACCGCTGTGGGGAAGTGGGCTGTCAGGGTGCCTCCCTGGGGACACACGAGGCTCTCTCCTGCAGCTGGACCAGGGCAGCATGGCAGGGTAAGCCCCTGGACCAGGGCTGCCAGCACTCACAGGGCCTTTGGGCGATGGGTAGCAGAGGTGAGTGCAGGACTGCTGGCAGGGCACAGAGCAGTTCCCCCCCTCGTCCGAGCCGTCTGCACAGTCCTGCCGGCTGTCGCACACCAGGGATGCATTCAGGCAGGACCCCAGCCCACATGAGTACTCGTGACTCCGGCAGGGAGCAGGCTGGCCTGCAGGGGACATGCAGGGAAGGCTGCCCTGAGCCTCGTCCACCACCTCCTTTTGCTCAGCTGGGGCAGGTTCAGCTGCTCCCACAGGGTGCCCAGGGCTCACCACAGCCACATCCACAGCTGTGCCTGTAGCCCAGCTTCAGGCTATCCTAATCCTAAGGCCACCAGCCCTACAGGGACAACAGCTACCTGGGGCACCTGGAGCCACCACAGATCCTGGGAAGAGGCAACTAGCACACAAAGCTTTTCACCTCGGCACAGGGACATCCCCACCTCCTTCTATGCTGGGCACCCACCAACCACCCCTGGGTGAGACACAGAGAGGACAGAAGTAGTGTATTGCTCACAGCCAGCCTCATCGCTGCCATCCATGCAGTCACTCTCTCCATCGCAGCGCCAGATATCAGGGATGCACTCGTGGCCACGGGAGCAGCCCCACTGCCGGTCCCCACACAGCCCTTCCTCCCAGGGACAGCCCTACAAGAGCAGAAGATGAATGGAGCCACCAGCCCTCCCAGGAGCGAGAGGGGACAGGTTGTGTCCCCACCACCCGACCCACCTGCTCGTCTGTGCCATCCCCACAGTCAGCAGTGCCATCGCAGCGCCAGGCCTCCGGCACACACTCCCCGCTGCGGGGACACGCCAACTCCCCCGCACGGCAGAGCAGCGGCCGGGGCACGGCACAGCCCTCCTCATCCGAGCCGTCACGGCAGTCACGGTCACCATCGCAGCGCAGGGCCAGGGCTATGCACTGGCCGCTCCGGCAGGGGAACTCAGCTGGGCTGCACTCCTTCGGTGCTGCAGGCAGGGCCAAGGCTGAGCAGGGGCACTGTCCCCATCACCATCCCCATCCCACCAGCACAGGCACGGCACTAAGCAGGTTATGGCCCTTCCAGCTGCTTGGCAGGTTGCACCAGGCAGTGCCTGCTCCTGGACCCATGGGAAACCTGATGCACCCACCTGTGGGGCAGACAACCCCCAGAAGCCCCTGTCCCACCCGACCCCAGCATCTCACCACAGCCTTGCTCATCAGCATGGTCCAGGCAGTCAGCATGGCCGTCACACAGCCAGCTCTCGGGGACGCAGCGGGTGGCAGCATCGCAGCGCAGGGCACACTCCTGCATGGGGCTCCAGCAGCCTGTCTCATCCGAGGCATCGGGGCACTGTGGCACCCCATCGCAGCGCTCCCCAGCCCCAATGCACATGGCTCCACTCGCACAGTGGAAGGCCCCTGGGGAGACAAGGGGCTTGCTAAGCCCGCAGCAGGCAGCCAGGGTGCCCAGACCCTCTGCTAGCCCCTCCAGAAACATAGAACGGCCCCACACTACAGTGACAGTGCTTGGTCAGTGTATCCCAGTGCATCTAGGTCCCAAGCAAGGTGACTGAGGGAGTCTCAGCTCAGCAACATCTAGGTCACCACAAGCAGCAGGGCCAGCCCTGTCCTCTTCTGACAGGTTCTCCAGCCCAGTGCCAAGCTCAAAAGAAACCAGCACGCCACATCACAAGCATCAGAGCCCAGTACACACTCAGACCTTCCCAGGGCCCCATCCCACCAACCCCACCAGGAGGCAGCCAGAAGCCCTGGTACAGGGTGACCCAGCTGCGCAAGGGACTGAAGAATGGCTCCTACCTGGGGTATTGCACAGCTGGGCACACCTGTCCTCATCAGAGCCATCTGCACAGTCCTTCTCCCCATCACACATGTACTCCTGGGCCACACACTCAGTGCCATCACGGCAGGGCACGTGTGTGCGAGGACAGGACAGATGGAGGACTGGGGTCAGAGGGTGTGCAGGGCTGGATGTGAGGGATGGGGTAGATGTCACTACTACCCGTGTAGGGGTGGTTGGGCGCTGGGTGGTAGTAGTTGGCCGTGGGGTAGTGGTCTTGGGTGGCAAGGACCGAGTGGTGGTGGTAGTGGTGGTGGTGGTGGTAGTGGTGGTGGTTGGTCGCACAGTAGTGGTTTTGGTTGGTCTGGTCCGGGCAGTGGTTGGCACAGGGGTGGTCCTAGTTGATGTGGACTGGATGGTGGTAGTTGGTGTTGTGGTAGCCTTGCTAGTTGGTGCAGGAGTAGTGGTGAGCACAGTGGTGGTCTTTCTTGGTGTAGGTCTTGTGGTAGAGGTGGTGGGCTGAGCAGTAGTGGTGGTTGTCCTCATAGTGGTGGTCATAGGTGGAGGGAGTGGCAGGGCAGACCCCTTGCTTGGTGGCACTGGAAGAGGCAAGGGAACATGAGCCTGGATCTGGGGCTGTGCCATCCCCACACTCCTGGCACCTCCAAGAGCACCCCACATGGCCACCAGCAGCCCAGCACCCTGCCCCAGCTTGGAGCAGCATGGGCCACCCAGTCCCATCAGGTACAGCACCAGCGCCAGACATAGAGCCACAGCCACTCTTACCAGCCTGTGGCTCCGAGCGCACGAAGGCCACCACTCCCTGCACGCCTGCTGCCGGCACAGACAGCACAAGGGCCAGTGTCCTCCGGTCCCACAGCAGCAGATCTGTCCCGTTTGCTGACACCAGGTATGGCTCGAAGGCGGCCACAAGGCCATGGGACCAGCTGGGTGCCAGGGTGACTGCTTGCCGCTTGGTCAGACTCAGTGCTTGCAGGCCTGCGAGGCAGAGGGATGGTAGTGCCGTGGGGTCTGCAGGCACCCCTCGTGGCCCTGCACCCACCCCCTGTACCCACAACCCACAGCTATGGCAGGGACCTCATAGCTGAGGACAGAGTCCACCCCATGAGCACCCCACTGCCCGGGCAGGGACCTGCTGCATGTAGGGCACGGCTGGTCACTCTTGCCCATAGCAACCACCTCTGCTCCCTGCTTCAGACACCACCAGGACTGACCCAGGGCTGAGCTCCAGAGCAGGCTGAAGGCTCTGCTGTCCATGGCTGCAGGCAGGTCTCCAGGCCACGTCTCATTCCAGGCATCCCAGGGAACCCCCCCGGCCACGCTCAGCTTTTTTTTTTGCCGGTGGCGGGCGCCGCCCGCGGCCCAGCCAGTACAGAGTGCCCCGCTGCCAGTCCAAGAAGAGGTGCTGGATGCTGCTCCGAGCACGGTGCAGGATGCGCGGGGACATGTCAGACGCCTGGATCACCCCGATGTCCCTCCGGTTACATGCGAGCCAGTACAGGTCTCCCGAGCGGATGTCCACACGGGCAGAACAGACTTGGCAAGAGTAGGCAGGCAAGCAGTTACAGGGCTGTCCCATGCCTTGGCACGGCCCCAGTCTGGGCACCATCACCCCATAGGGTCTCACCTGGCAGCCCAGTCACAATGGCCTCTCTCCTGCCAGGGTGCCCCACAACACGTAGCAGTGTCCCGCGGTCATCTGTCCCATAGAGCACTGACCTTTGCCAGTCCACATCTTGCAGGTGGAGGGGCTCCTGCCACTCCTGCACCCGTTTGCTGCGTGTTCCAGGGCCCACTTGCACCAGGGAGATGGTCTTCCCTGATGCATACACGATGGACAGCTCTGCAGGGTACAAGGGCAGCATGTGAGTGTCACCCCAGGGGCACTAGATGGGGTCACCAGCCTGAACCACCAAGGCAGAAATGTAACAAGCACTGGTGTGTGCTGGGAACCTCATCACACCAAACCCACAGCCCCTTACGGCCCCCCTCCAGCCCCCCCAGGGATGCATCCCACCCCAGCCAGCCAAGCCCACCTTGCAGACCCTGCTCACCTGCGCACTTCCCCGAGGGCAGGAGGAAGAGCCCCTCTGGACACGTACATTTGTAGCCCCGAGGGTGCACAGGGGACAGGAGGCAAAGGTGACTGCACAGACCTGGAGCACATGCAGCAGTGTCCCCTGGGAGCAAGAGGACATTAAGAGCTCAGGCAGCCATGACCCCCCACGCCTCTCCTGATCTCCAAGAACCACAGGCTGTCCTGGGGCTGTTATGGGCCAGCTACTCCCGGCAGGGTAGCAGTGTCACATGAGGTAGGAGGGTTCAGCTCTACCCAAAGCCATGGAACTCAGCAGCTTTCCTATGGGTTCATATGTCCTCTCTGTCACAACCCCACAACCCCTCACTGCGGGGCCAGGAGAGCCATCAGGCAGAACCTAGTGAGCTCCAGGACCCAAGCTCAGCCTCCGCTGGCACCCATGGAAGCAGTGGGGATGCTCCCAGCCCTGCTCCACCACAGACACCTGGCAGGGTACTCACGGGGAGGCTGCTGCAGTGCGTGCAGCACAGTGAAAGCCGAGACAGGGGCATGGAGCAGCACCGCGTGCTCCTGGGGAGAGGCCTGGGTAGCCGATGCCAGCTCTGTGCCATCAGTCCAGAAGAACCGGCTCTCAAAGACAGCCAGGCCCAGTGGCTCCGTGTGGCTCCGCAGGACAGCAGGAAAGGAGTGGCGCCCGCTGCCATCCACCCGCAGTGTCTCGATGGACTGGGGACAAGGCAAGGAATGGTGACCGCGTGGCACCCCCACCACCTAGCACTGTCCCACAGCCACAGGGCTCACAGTGCTGCCTTCCCCCTCCCAGCCCAAGGATGTCTGCCAAACCTGGGCTCCTCTCCCTGCTCCCTCACATGCCTTGGCTGTAGCCTCAGGGGAAACAGGGCCACCCTCCCCACTCCCAGCACCTTGTGGGGACAGAGCCCTGCTGCCCCACATCCCTACCTCCTTGTACTCGCTGATCCAGTACAGCCTGCCAGCCACATGGTCCAGGCTCAGCCCCACGGGCTCCTCCATGGACACCACTGTGAGCTCCCGACGGTTTGAGCCATCCATGCCAGCTGCAGCAATGACTGTCCGGCCCCTCTGCCCACGGTTGACCCAGTACAGGGACCTGGGGGACAGGCACTAAGGACCCACTTCACAGCATAACACCAGTGCTGCCACAGCCGGCATGACACGTGGCATCACTCACCCAGGAAACCGGGGCCAACCCTGGGCTCACTCGCTCCTCACCTTGCAGCCGGATGCACTGTCAGCTGCTCCGGTGCCACGTCCTTCCCCAGCACTGTCACATAGCCCCGACCATCACCCAGCCCCGCGCAGATGGCTGCAGGGTGGCTGCTGGCCCAGTACAGTTGCCCCGTGAACCAGTCCACAGAGATGCTGTTGACCTCCCCGGCATCTGCAGAGACAGAGCGGTTTAAGGCACACCACCCCTGCTCTAGGCTAGGAGGCAAAACCCAGGTTGCCCCTTCTTCCACAGGAACGGCAGGGCTGGGGTGGTGGGCCAGCTCTCAGCACCCATCTCAGCCCTGCTATAGCACCCAGCACCCTCACAGAATCACAGAATGGTCAGGGTTGGAGGGGACCTCTGGAGATCATCTAGTTCAACCCCCTCGCCAGAGCAGGGTCACCTACAGCAGGTTGCACAGGACGGCATCCAGGCGGGTTTTGAATGTCTCCAGTGTGGGAGACTCCACAACCTCTGGGCAGCCTATACCAGTGCTCTGCCACCCTCAATGTAAGGTTCCTCCTCATGTTAAGATGGAACTTCCTATGTTCAAGGTTGTGCCCGTTACCTCTTGTTCTATCACTGGGCACCACTGAAAAAAGACTGACTCACTCCTCCCCACCTGCATAGAGGGGCCGTGTGCCCTTCCCTGGGAGGCGAACACGGAGCTCGCCATCCTCTGTCAGCCAGTAGTAGGTTTCCCGGAGCAGGTCGTACACCAGGGCACGGGGTTCGGTCTCGGTGGAGAGGAGGGGTCGGTAGGCTTGGGTCCGCACGTCCAGAAGGGCCAGGTCCTGCCCCACAGCCACCAGGATCTGCGTTGCATTGTCTGCCAGGGCGAGGGGCATGTCACCCGGTGAGCAGGGACCTGGCTAGCTGGGGCTACTGCCCAGCCTGTCAGACAGCCCGGGCTCCCCAGCTCTCCCTACCTGCCACTTCACAGGTGGTGCCATGCCGCAGGGTGTACCCTTGGAGACAGGCGCAGCTGAAAGCGCCTGGCGTATTGCTGCACAGCTGGCTGCAGGGGCTGTACTCCATAGAGCACTCGTCCACATCTGAAGGGATAGGTGCTGCCAGGAGCTCGCCACACAGCTGGCTAGCTGCCCCTGGGCAGCACGGCCACTGCTCCCCAGGGACCACAGGCCGGCTCCCTAGATACCAGCTGCTGCTGGGACATGACCCAGACACAGCCTTTGGGGGCCCAGGCATGATGTGCAGGCAGGAGCAGGGCTGAGGGAGTCATTCCTGAACAGCCCTGGCTCCAGGGGAACTTGACCCTCAGTAGCCAAGGCGTCACATGCCCGAAGCGTGTGCACCCTGACATCTCCTTACCAGCACAGCTCTGCCCGTCCGCCTGCAGCACCCAGCCAGCCCCGCAGGAGCACTGCACACCCCAGTGCGTGTCAGCGCACGTCTCCGCACAGCCCCCATTGCGTACAAAGCAGCTTCGACCTGTGGGGACACATCGGAGGGGTGACAAAACGCAGAACGGCTCTGCGCCTTCCCCTAGCCCCACGTAACTCACCACAGGTGCTGGGCTCGTCAGTGCCATCCAGGCAGTCATCCTCGTCATTGCACATCAGGGACTCCAGGATACACTTTCCCTCGTCACACCGCACCATGCCAGGTGGGCAGGGGGCTATGGCACACACAGCTCATGTCAGGAGGGCAGACTGATACCAGGTGGGCACAGGGGATGCCGTGGGTCCCAGACACATGGGGAGGCCCCACAAAGCATCAACAGGTTCCTGGGATGCTTACCACCACCCAAAGAGGAGCCGGGGC